GCTGCCACAGAGACCACACATATATAAATGAAGGGTCAGACTTCAAGGCTGAATTCATCATGAGAGTCCCATAGGGACTCTGTCCTGCAGATGAAGGGAGGAACCAAACAGATTGAGGAGACAGAAAACATAGACAAGAAGTGGACAGGGCAACAATTATTTGTTGATGTCGTTGAAAATGGTCAAAACATCTATTAGAGCTAGAAATACACACACGGACACATCTGAGTTTTCAAGAATATAATTGTGATAACTGCCGCTGGGGATACCAGAATATTTGGAAATGGCTAAGATGGGAATCTGCATATAGAGAAAAAAAATACAAAATCTGCCATCCAGACTGAATGCCAGACTGGGGGCCACGCTGCCAGGAAAATGCTGAAGAATCCCAAAGTCAAGCAGGTCTGTAGGCTGGGCTACGGCAAAGGCTTTGCTCTCTTCAGAGTGGTTCCCTGCATCTCCTCCTGCAACCCGCCAAGTCATCAGATCAACTGAACGCACAGAGACACACAGACACACACTAAACTCTCAACCATTTGCATTCATCTGCAGGTTCACTAAAGGTTACCCTCAGCAAAGTACATAGTTATACAGTTAAGGACAAATTCAGCTGGGTAGATGGGTCTCCGTGACACTATTCAATGACCATAGCTGGGATCCTGGCAAATGTGCTCAGGTTCCCCTGCACGGGTTAAGCTGTTTCAGGCTGATTGGTAGATGCAGTGGTACAGCACAAAATTGTTAAATGTGATGCTCTGCTCTGCAAAGCTAATTTTGGAAGGAAAAATCATCGTTTTCTTTAAGAAATGCATTTGGCTTTGAATTTCACTTGTTTGTTTGTTTGTTTGTTTGTTTGTTTTGGTTGAACTCTTTTTAAACACTGACCTGCAAGAATTCTTTTCCCCTGGGTCTTTGGGGAGTCTTGTGGATCTATGCTGCAGGGCACTGAAACCATCGGCTCTGCCCATTTTCCTCCTCCCTCTTTCTCCTAGACCTCCTTTCCACCTTTTTCTCGTTTTGACTGTGAAGAACAGGAGAAGATCCCCATTACCCTGCTTCGCTGCTCTGTAAAAAGAATTTCAAAACTCCTAATATTAATCACAACTTTCAGTGCCCCTGCTGCCATAAAACATTATAACAATGGGCTGGCACTTCATCAATTGTAATTTGCTGATATTACAGTCACAGTAGCGCTCGACATAATTGCCTTGCTCTACCACTGACTCGTAAGGCTTCTTGATCTCGGTCAATACTTCTTTGCACTGGGGGCTGCAGTCAGAAATTTTGGTCTAACAGCTCAGCTTTTTGAATTTCCAGTTCCTGCCCATCTGAGCAGGATGTGTCCCTCCAAATACTCGGCACACCATCGCCCTCAAATTTCATTCCCAGACACTTAAATCTATTAGGACACACTTTATTCTTCATTATTCTCAATTTTACACATAGCAGCACAACACTTACAACTTCCAAACAGAGATAATAACAGCAGTTATTAAGAATGAAGGAGCTAGCTTGAAGACAGTAAAATAAAAGACATTTAGTTAGGACTTTGAATTCCTTGCAGGTCCAAAACTCCTCCCAGCAAGAACATGACTTCAAACCATACAGATTATTAATAAGATGTTTATTTCGGGACAGAAGGCACCTTGAGAATCAATTTGACTATGTTGTGTTTTTCTGTAGACAAATTAAAACATAAATTATCAGCCCAAATGACTTCTACCGGAGACGAAGGACAGCAACAAATTAAGAAAAAAAATAGTGCAAACTCTCCCTGACAGAACATATTGTGTGTGACTCATTCTGTAAAAGTCACCATTGTGAGCTGCAAATATTTATTCCTTATACGATTGTAGCTTCTCTGAGGTTGGGACAGAGATGACACTACAGAGGCAGGAAAAAGCCTCTCTGCGGAGAGCTGTCAGACACAGCAGGCATGCAAGCACCCTTGCTGGACACTTGCAGGGAATAAAGCATAAAATCCATGCCACGTTACACTTACATGGCTATACAGACAACCACACATAATGCTGAGATACAGACTTTCAAAAACACTAGAGGGACCAGATATATTTTGATGTCTAGTTTTTTGTGCCGCTGCTTTGTGACACCACAGTCTCGCTCTAAAAGTTGCCCTCCCAGGCACAGAATCCTTTACAGAAGTGGACCGCTCTCAAATTCAGTAAGCACAGGGTGGAAAGAAGATGAATGAGCCTAGGGAGACACTGCAGGCTTTTACATGGGCCAGCTGACAAGCCCAAGTGCTTGGAGGCCGGTGGGGTCCTGATGAGGAATTCGCTGATTGCCCAGTGGGGCTGTGGTGCACCCCTCCTTCCCACCCTGCTGTGGCTTATGCACGCAAATGCTTTGTAAACAGAGTACTTGCAAAAGCCTTTCTTGCAAGCATCCGCATGAGGGGTATGGCAGAACATTGCCAGGATGAAGTCTCACCAAAGGGGGGCCGCAACAAGGATTATATCCCCTGTTTGTAGCTCTGGGATGCTCAGCTCTAAGATCCTTGAAGTGACCGGCTTGTTTTCTAATGCTCTGGCTGTCGTAGCAAGCGTAAGAGCTCTCCGTGGGAGCCGCTGGGGACATTAGAGCCCGCCCTTAGAGCCTTAGAGTCGTGGGAGCCGCTGGGGACATTAGAGCCCGCCCTTAGAGATGGGCTCTGGGCTGGAATTTGCTCCATCCAGAGTGCACAGCTTCAGATGCCATGCGAAATCCCACGCACTTCGACCATTGGCTCACACAAATGGAAGGCTACCGTAGAGTAAAGCTTTGCTTATTCTGCACGTTTTGCCAAGATTTTGAAAACCACTTAATGGACTTGGACAGACTCAAGGGGTGTTTTTAGATTCAAGTACTACTTGTTTAATGGATTTATTTTATAAACATTGGCATTGAGATTTTCAAAACATCTTTGGGATTTGGCCTGCTGATTCCTCTTAATTTTTAATGTAAAGTAACATCTGAAGCCGGCAACAGCGACGTAATTGTATAACTCCAATAGTTGCATAAGCTCATCTCATATGCAGAACAATGCCTCCATCCACCAGGACGTGAATGAAATAGGTGGCTGATGTTTCTGTCTGGAGGATCATTTCCCTTTGGCTTTACAAACCATGGCACAAGTATTAAGCCCATGTCACCCAACTGTCTCATTTGAAAAGGCCTTTCAAGCCTCCAGATTTCAAATTTATACAGATAAAATATGTGTGTGCATATATATACAGATATATGCATAAGCGTATATAGTTGTATTTATTTTATATACGTGTGTGTCTGTGTATGAATGTATATGCACACACACATTCCTATGTGCGTTCTTCTCCCCTGGTGTTGGCTGCCTGGCTGTTTGCATCTCTTCAGAAACTTCCAGCATTGCTGGTCTGACTTTCCACAATGCTACCTCCTGCTCCTCCGTGGCCACCCAGGAGGTGCTAGTGCTTGGAGAACTTCAGTGAGACAATATTGCATGTGTTCCCAATGGGCTGTTCCTCTGAGGCTTTGAGCCCTTCACCCTACGAGAGCAGTAATTAAGGAGAACAGATACATAGAGGTGGGAGATGGATCAGGACGCTCTACGGTGCGTAGGCAGTGCAAGCTCTTACAGCCTGCAGGCAAAATTAGAGCTGGGGAAAGGTGGTGTGGTGCAACCGTGGCTGGCTGCACAGAGGTCCCCAATTCATTCTTTCTGCAGCAAAGTTCAGGACAGTAACATCGCACTCCCCCGGGACAAGAAAGAGAAGGGAAAAGGGATGCAATCTGGGAGAAACCCAGCTTTCTCATTTAATCACAACAAACTGAAAATGTCTTATGCATTCAGAAGAGAGGAAAACTAGTCATTAACTTATGCAAGGCAGCTGGTTTCCCAATAACGGCTCCTACACATTCTGGTTTTAATATTATTGTTCTTGTCAACTGTGGGAACGCAATGTATATTAATGATGGTTTATTCCAAATTGGTCATTGTCAGAGCTAATAATTAGGTAGTCAGGCACTAATTATCTCTATTTTGTCTCAAATCATTAACTAAGAAATCTGGAGAAGTAATTTCGGAGGCAGGCATCAGAGCCACACACGGTAGGGCGGGTTCCGCTGCGGGCACAAGAGACACTTCACTCTGGAGAGCGGCACCAGCCTACGCCTGGGAGCAGAGTCTGGGCGATACTGCTCCCAGTACCGGGTGCAGAGTGGCAGCACCTCAAAAAAATACATACATGCGTGGTGCCAAGCCATTCTTTGCACCCCTCCTTCACCCAGTGAAGGAGGAAAGCTCCCCGAAGGCATTACTTGGCACTCGGAGAACAGTGCCGTCTCCAGCGGGGACACCACAGGCCACCATTGCTTGCTGCAGCTCTTCTCCCAAGCGGCATCCAGCTGGACAGGCACCAGCAGGAGGGCACAGCAGTGGGAAGAGGTGGCACAACGGGTCTGCTCGGAGGACGTGAAGTCTCGGCATTTACTCTGAAATAAGCCTCTTGTGGAAATGACCGCAGGAACATGCTCAGGACAAGGACGGGTCTGTCACACAGTGAATGAGGGACCTCGGGCACATGGGTGGAGCTGCCCGAGCTCCTACTGGGACAGGGGACACCCGCAGCACCCCTCCAAAAGTCTGTGCTTTCAGGGCATGGCTGAGTCTGCACTGCTGCTCCCCACCTGCCAGCAGCGCCCGCCTCTCCTCTGGTGTGTGCAAGATCCCCACCTGCAATCATCCTCCCCTGTTTTCCCTATGTATTGTGGAGATTACACCAGAAATGCTACACGGGAAGCCTTCAACTTCAAGTGTTCAGGGCGTACATGTTGCTGGCCACTTTAAATTGAATCAAGCGTATCCTCACAGTGTCTTAGGGGACAGCAACCAAAAAATTCCCTTATCAGTTATAATTTGTCCTTCTCATTTAAGAATTTTCAAGATTATCCTGCCCTTGTGGGCACAAAAAACCCCACAAGACGTCAAGACCAGCGCCCCCTCCCCCCCGTTATGAACTTACCTCAACATAGAGGATAGGGAAAATGCCAATCTTGTCACCCAGCATTCCTTCTGCCCAGTTGTCATCTACCCTCCTGATGACGGTCAAAATTTCATCCTAAAATCAGAGATACACAAAATACATAATCAGATTTTTTCAGCAGAAAGATGCCAGTTTTTAGTTGTCCACACGACAGCTTAGGGAGAGAGTACACAGAGGAGGGCCATAAGCCAGGTAAAAATGTTCCCTGAACCCTGGGCCAGCAGCATCCCTGGCCCAGCATCCCACCCCAGGCATCCCATCCAAAGTGCACTGAAGCACCCTGCAGACCGGTGCAGCTCATGCCAGCTGCCAGCAGCAGCTCCAAGGGCCTGGGCACAGCGGGTGGGAACAGGTAACTCCTGGCTTCATTGCAGGGACAGGGAGAACGTTTGACCCAGGAGGTCACCTCTAACCCAAAGGCAAAAACTCTCCAGCATGAGGCTGCCCCTGTGCATCCGAGAACCCACTGCGGTGCTTGGCTGCTCCAGAGGATAACTCAAAGGGAAGCACCAGTAGAGCACGGGTAGTCCTGGAAACACTTCCAGCAAGAAGCGTAAGGTACAGCATGAGGTGCTCAGCAACTAGCCTACACTGCTGATGCACTGAATGTCAGTTTTCCTTTTAAAAAAAAATATTAGGAGGTAAAAGTGCAAAGCAAGTAAAAAGCCCAGGATAACATAATAAAAACCAAGTTGCATTCAACTGTTGGATCAGCTTCAGTTTAGATACAAGTTCGTTTTCTAAAACCAATGGCATTTTAATATTATATTTAATCTAAGGGATCTTACAAAAATTTCAGCTGATGATGAACTTTTTTGTGAACATAAAACAGGAGATTAAGCAAAGTGCAAATAAGATTCATACTGCTCAAAGTTTCTCTTGATGGAGTTAAAACCTAGAACATAAAAAGCTCAGGTGACTAGAACCAAACCCTGACTTTTCCCAGTTTGAGCTGCTCAGCTTGTCAGTGGATTTCTGCTACCACGTCTGTCTGCTGGGGCTGTCATACTAAACCCGGCCTTGGGCCAGCACTGCTTGCTACAAAGGCTGCGGAAGGCAGCCCTCTCTGCAGGGCACCGCCTGGATGCTCAGATCTCCTATGGCCAGAGGAAAGGAGTGGGCTGAGAGAAGCTGCAAAGTGAAGTTTTCATTCTCTCATGGCACCCAATCTGCCTCCGTTCCTGTACAGAAATTTATAAAAAAGAAGAAAACATCTTCCTCCAGAGAGCTGAGACAGAGTTCCCTGCCATTCTCACTTTATTTTCATCACTCACTCTAGGAAAATAAGAGCTACATATGGTCTATCACCCTCCACGTAGCAAGCTATCCATGTTAACTGGTCAGGCGAGGGGAGTTGGGTTTTTTGCAGATACTTCTCACATAGAAAAAAGTCCACAAATTCCTGATCCAGGATGTTCAGACTGCGGATTTAAGTTGATTGATAGAAAATGATAAGAACGGTGACGTGATGTACTTTGCAGTTTTTGAACATGTGCATTTTGAACACGTGCACTTCGAAATAGTTTAAATGCTTCCTTTGAATTATTCATCTGAATGATCCATTAAGGGAAAGCTCAGAGAAACAGCCACAGACTGAGTCCTTCAGCTATTTATTACAGCTGGAAGGATGCAAAAAGAATTTGTGCATTTAATTTCCTGAAGAAACAGATAGCATTCCCTTCCAAAGCCCTGTCTGGACGGACCATTTTTGATCTGTGTAAAGAGCTGACAGTAATATGTCTCTGCAAAGTTTCCACATGCTCTTACAAAAGACCAATTATCATAAATTTAGAATCTAGGTAAAGGGGGTAAATGAGGAAAATAAAAGACTGCATTGCTTCAAGAACCTGCTAGGTGTGTTTCTACTTTCTGTATTTGTTCAGCTATTTTCTTAAAAGACTTTTTAAAAACCCAAAGTGTGATGGGTCTACACTTTCACTATATGTTTATGTATACGTATATAATCTTATGTGTGTATGTGCATATGTATGTGTATGCGTGTATAAGTGTATGTGTGTGTGTATATATTCGCATATATATATACACGCACAAATAAGATAAGAAGTTAAGAAAAAAACTTTTTAACTGTAAAACCCCAGAAGCACTCGACTAGTTTTTGTTAGAGGCACCGTGCAATCTCCAGACCTGCAGCAGGCTGGACAGGCACCTGGCAGGAAAGATTTATCCTGCGTTGATCCTGCTCGAGGATGGGGCAGGGAACAAGTGACCTTTGAAGATCCCTTCTAACTTTACTTTCTACAGACCTATGAAATCTGGAAGCATTTCCATACACCGATCTTAGTTTGGCTCTGCCAACTCTGGCTGCTGAATGTGGTCATATAGGAGAAAATCAGATAGCTGCACTTCCCGAGATACGCTGACATTCAAAATGTGTATCTTTGTGGGAGAGCAAAGTGCAAATCCTTGAGAATGCTTTCCATTACAGAATTCGTTTTCAGAAGCGTGTTGAAAATCTCCAGGAATTACAGCAAATCCCCAAACACCTTTTGAAATTCTTTATTAATAGAAAGTTTCTTTGAATTTGCAGCCCACAACATCATTCTATACCCTGGGCTGGTGAAAGCTTCAACAAGAACCATTATAGTACCTTAAATTAGCTGGATAGCCGTGCTACTTATAAATTCCTAGAAAGGTTCCCAAAAGGATCATGAATAGTAAAGAGCCACAGATCTCTTGGCATACCACTTCAACTTTCTGAACTTCACTATTTCACATGTACTAAATTGATTTCCAGGCAGCATAAAGGAATCCAAGCCTCAAATCTCATTTCAAAAGCCAATGGTATCCACTGTAGTTTGAGAAAGATACCTTATGCTCTTTTTATGCCTGTTGCTAAAGTCTCTAATTATTTGCTCTCTCCTACTTGCTCAAGTCTCTTTCTATTCATCAGGGCCGGGCAGCCTTGTGACAGGCACGTGGGACCTGCAGTTGCAGTTTATAACCATTATCAGAACGGAAGTCAAAGATACTTCACTTAAAAAGCAATCTGACTGATGGAGAAATGAACCCTTTTGCTGAGAAAACAGAACAAAATTGTGTCCAATAACAGTCATGATTCACAGCCTGATTTTTACTCTAGTCATTAACGGCCATTAATGAAGCAATACAAAGCAGATGTGCCTGCTATTCTGCAGAGATAACAACTCCATCTAGAGCACTGGGGATATCTCAGCGATGGCAGGATGGCACCACGCGGTGCTTGGTGTGCCTGCCGACAACACTTGCCAGCTGGTGCGAGAATCCCAATCGCCGACTACCGCCTGGACGGTCCCTCTGTGCACAGCAAATGCTGCTGGAATTGAGTGCTAAGGGGCTGGGATGCTGCGCTGCAGCCAGGAACCAGTGTTGGATGTGATGGCTCCAAGATTGGCTCAACACTGGTTAAACGCTGCTGTGGGCTGGGAATTAAAGTGTTGGAAAATGAAGGAAATAGTTGATGTTATTAAAAACGTGATGAGCAATAAAGCACGGGAAACAGTTGATACTACGTTGACAGGTTTGACAGTCATCTACAACTGGGACTCAGCCTTGAAGGGGCCACGTGAACTCATGCATGCAAAGGGTGGTCCAACGCCAAAACAAAACTGTGGGCTGAATTTGGACTCAGTCTAAGGCTGGAGTAACTACACAAACAGACAATAATGCAATTACTCCAGATTTGCACAGCTATAGCTAAGAGCAGAGTCCCCTTGCGCATGGCTTGTACCAGAGAGCGCGTAGCCCAAGGGAGGATGAGTTATTTTTTAAAACAGAGACAGCAGGACCCCAGGCTCATACTGGGGTATCACATAAGGAGACATTAGAAAGCCAAGTTAAATGAGTATATCCCAAGGGCATACAATGAGACCACACGCTGATTGCAACCACGCTAGTGAACATCAGGAGTAACACTTCTGAAGCTGCTGGAGTTATACTGGTACAAAGCTGACACAAGGCTGGAACCCATCGTTACAGAGAGCAAAACAACCGCTAACTGATTGATTTGGCTGACCACTGCCAAACACTGGGCAAAAATATGTTAAGTCACAGATCTGGGATGTTTTGTCTTCTTGTAGCCGCTGCAGAGGAAGGAACAGTGGTGGGCCCCTATGCCTGTACATACGGCTACTTTGGGAGGAGGAGTTAGGGGGAGCAGTCTGCATGGTGTAAGAGAATGACAGGTTGGAGCTTTGTTTGTTGCGCTGGATACTCAAGACAGAGGTTTCTCTGTCCCTTCCAGTTTTATACTTACACGTACAAAATTATTATATTTGCTTTATCTTTGGCTTTTTATCTGGAGAGTGTTGTGTCTACAGGAGATGAAAATGGGTAAATGACAGAAGCCCTCTGCAGCAGTGTTCATGAAGATCAGTGTAAAGCAGACTTAATTTCCTTGCAATCCACCTCTGGAACAACAGGACATTTTAATTTTGGAAAAAAACCTACTAAGAGGAAAACCCAAATATCCTTCCTTTGTTTTCTTTTACTGCAGGGACAGATATTCTGACTGCATCATAACAAAGGGGAGGGGAAAAAGCAAAGTCCAGCAAAAGAGCAACAAAACATAATGATACAGAAGATCCCTACGTTTGAGCTCTCTTCTTGTAGTTTCTCTTCAGAGGAAAACTATTCTTTATGTTCATAAGTAAAATCCAATTACAAGTGTCTGGTAGCGTTAAATGAGTTGCAGGACACAAATAGGTTATACTAGTTTGTATAAATGGTATGCCGATGCAACCCCTCTACCTGAGGAAAGAGCAAACAGCGTAAATGAAATTGAGATCAGGTCCAGCATCTTCAGATGCAAACTGAGACATTCAAATGATGAATATTGCTCCGAGTGAGAAATCACATCTACAGCAACGCAGTGCTCATGACTCGGTGCAGAGGAACTGACTGCATCAGCAGATGATCTAAAATCTGGGCTAAACAGGAACCTTCATCAGCACAGGTGACAGCTAAAATTAGCATTGAGAAAACTGATGAAAACCTGACAGCAAAGTCCCGTGATGAAAAAAAGATTATTCACTGTCAGGGAGAACAATAGGCAAGACATAAAAACAGTTACGAGGTGACAGTGCATGTAGTGGAAGGAGCTAAAGAAGAAAATAGGAGTAGAAGTGAAACCAAACCCCCTTGGGGAAAACACAGTCATCGGGGATAAAAGGATGCAGACAGTAACACGAGGGGTGAAAAAAAGGAAAATTGAGGGATTGAGCGTAGAGCTACACAGCAGAAAGAAATGCTCCGTGTGAGAATGACATTGGACAGCCAAGAAAATGAGAACTATCAGTATACAAGGACAGTTATTGTAAGGGAGGTATACTAATATACGGCACCAAATATATCAAATACAAGTGTCTAGGAAAGGGCTTGCTCTAACAAAAAAGACAACAAATGCCTGCCTGCCTTAGTGATAGGATCTCAAAGGTAACTTCTGGCTAACTTTCTGTTGGTGCATAGCTGCTACTTCCCACTAAGCAGCCCCCTTTCTTGCAGAGATTCACAGCTCCAGGGAGGCTGGGTAAGTCGCAGGGTTTGCAGTGTTTGCAGTCAAACACTTCGCTTGCTATAGAGCAGAAGTGTTTACAAATCTTTTGTTAAATAAATATGAGAAAGCATACATTCTAGGAAATTGCGTTCTGCTGAGAAACGTACGAGTGAGAAAGATGTTGCATTCAGTGAGAAAATTATATGCTGCAAATAATTCATTCAGCTATAATAAGTAGCCTCAAAAGAAGAGGTCAGTAAAATCCTGGTGAAGGGTATTTTTATCATCTATTTCATATTCATTTCCAGCATAACTGTTATTACTTTATGTGATACCATAACAACCACAGACAGCTGAAATAAAAGAGAAAATGACAATGAACAGGTTCTCCATGGCATTCAGTGCCATAAATTAACATTAGGGGATACGCTTTATTTTACTGTGGGTTTCTTGATATCCATGAAGCCCATCTCAGGTCAACACAAATTGCTAGGGAGGGGAGGGGCAGACAGAAAGCAGGTGGGGAGGTGGGGTAGAAAGGGAAAACGTGACATTTTAAATCCAAAGGAAATTACAATATCTTGGTTTTCTCTCATTCCAAATGGAATTTAGTAAACATTTTGGTTTTAAGAAAACAAAGACCTTTTTTTAAATGTCTGCTTTTTAATGTCTTTATGTTCTTAAAATAGGAAATACTGTGATACATGATGATAGTGTATTTCAACTGCTAATTGGTATATGGTATGATGCAATACACATTTTGAAGCTGAATGACATTTTAAAACACTGGAACATCTGATTAAATCAGGAACATTAAAAGACACATTTCCATTAGATTTCTTCTGAAATTGAGTCGTTCTTGCAGAACATTTCAATGCAGATGAAATGTATGCTTTTCACACAGAAAAATGTTCTCAGAAAGTGTGTAGCCAGTTCTCCTTGTTGAGTTTCACGGGCTTTATACCAACTTGCTTTTCATGGAACGAGCTATCTCATTGGCTTGTCCTTTAGACAAAACAGGAGCAACTTCCCAAAGACGCTAACACGGGGCTTGCCCAGAGGGGAGGTTTTATGCCCACCCAGTCCTGCAGCGCGGCTGGTGTGCAGGACATTGCAGGGCCACTGAGCAGGCTCTGCCTCTGCAGGGAGGAGGATTTACAAGTTGGGAGAAGTCAATGTCCTTCAGCACGTTACATGAGGGGACGCCCCACTTAATAAAGGAAATTCAGCCCTGTCAGCCTGTCCCCACTAGGCTGCCTGAGCTCCAGGGCTTTAATTTTCTCACACAAGAAACCAGTTGAAAGAAACAAGCAGAGTGCAGGGGGTCCCTGGGCAGAGTTGCCCGAGGAGGCCAGGCAGATGTCCCACCGGTCCCAGCACCACCGTGCTGCAGGCTTGGCTGCCAGCACCCCACGTGCCCCATCGGTCCCTACAGAAGCAGCTTTCTAAACTTTTTTTAAAAAAAAAACAACTATTCCCCTACCTTGGTGAAGGTCAGGCAATCCTTGTCTTGATCTTTATCCTTTATTTCAAAGTCGTAAAGTGCTTTGCCCTGAGGTGGAGCTTGCGGCAGGGGCTTGATACACTGGATGTAGCTGGCAGGGAAGAAGCCATGGTTCCCATTGAGCTCCCCGTGGTACCAGTTCTCGTCCACCTTCCGCCGCAGTATGATGATGTCCCCCTTGTTAAACTTGAGGTCTCCGGGCTCTTTTCCCTCATACGTGTAGAGGGCTTTGCCATAGGGAAGCTGAGAAACACTCTGAGGAAACAAAATATGCAACACCTTTAAGTAAACTCGAGCCAGAACCGATTTCCTTTTTAAAGTCACTTTCAGCTAGAAGCAAACTGATGATCCGTCACCAAATTACCCCAATGACTGCAGGTGACTGCTACATAACGCTATGCCCTGGATCTTACAGGAAAGCTAGGATGCGTGTGATGGTAAGACTGAGAAGGTAAGTGTGTTACATCAGAGGAGGCAGTGCAGTTCTCTTGAAGCTCAGCTGAAACCCACGGTACCTCTTACGCCATCAAGCAGGGTCTGTTAATTTGCAAAATATCCTATGTAAGCAGGACGATGTGTTTAAACAAGTAAAACTTGACATGTCTAAAAGTCAAATATTAGACATTTTGACCTTCAGGGTTGCTTTGGTTTCTGAGGCTCAGAAGATAAACAAAACAAAACAAGCTTGAAGATTCACATGATTCTAAAAGTTGGCAAGTTGAAAATTTTTCATTGTGTTTGTTTGAGCAACTCCAAATATTTTTGAGTTTGAAGCTTTTAGTTTAGCTTTTGATTCTGTAAGCAAATACTCTTACTTCTTTCAAAATCCCCAAGTCTCACGCTGCTCACTGAGGGCTACTGTAAACAGTTGTAATATTCTTTGTTGCTTATGAATTAATGTCCCTGCAGAAAAGCGGAATAGGCAGAATGCCTCAAATCTTTCTTTTAGAACTAAAAACAGCTCTGAGGCTTTCACTCTCATTAAAAGAAAGAAACAAACTTAAAAAAAACCACAGCACAAGCAAAAAAGCCTAAGAAGTGATTAGTTTGGTGTGACAGAAAAGAGAAACCTATTTGATGGAAACTACCTGATTGTGAAGAATTCTTCCCAGAGTTCACTTTGGCCCAGTGCAAGATTGTCTCACCCAGGCTGCACGGACAATTTTTTGGTGGAAGTATCGGTTTATGCAGCCCTTGCCCTTGCCCTCCCTGAATACTTGCTCCCCTCCTTGCTGAATCACACAGAGCTGGGAGTGTGTTGGACACAGCTGCCTATAGGGCTTAGCCCTACAATAGCTCTTTCACCCATACTGGGGGAGAAAAGGTGCATCGCTGTATTATCCTATGCCATGTTTTATTTCGTTTAGCTTGAGCTAAGAGTCAGCTTGCAAGCCTCAGTGCAAATATGTAGCAGCACGTATCACAGGGGATGTTAAAGGGGTCCTGTAAAGTCAACCTTTCATAAGAGTCTTTCTTTCAGAGATGTGTTTATAAAAATGACACGTTTTTCTGTTGCGCACATATATATGCCTACGAGTAGTCTGTTCCCTGCCCTGTACACTGGCTGTCAATGGCGTGTCCTATAAGGCCAATGAAAAAGTAAAGGTATGTATATGTATATATAAAATACCCTGGTATTCCCCCGGGTGTTTCTTACGTCTGTATTTCTGGATGACATTCCTGTGCATAAGAATATCACTCGGATGCTTTCCGCAGGGAAAAGGAGGAGTGGCCGGACAGAACACTCCATTTCCCCACCCCAGCCAGAAAATGAGATCCCAGGATGACTTTTTACGGTATTTGTTAAAGGAACAAGCAGAGGCATTTTTCGATCCCGACGGGTGCATTACATGGACCTGCTCTGGTAGGGCACGTTTTATGCTCTTACACCTGCATCTTTCGGCAAGCGGAGGAGAAGCACCAGCCCGCTGTCTGCGCTGCCTGCCAGCACAGCCTCCTCCGGCTGCTTCTGGGCGCCAGACGGTTGCTGCGGCAGGCAGATAGCACGCTGTTCAAAAAGTAAGTTTCCGAGTGCACCTTCACACACAGGCGTTAACTTACTCACTTTATTAGCAAGGGCTTTAGTAGCTGTGCAGGTCTTGGAAAGCACGTGCAACAGATCTTCTTGCCTACACCACACAGTGAAGGAGGCAATCAAACAGGCACAGCTCTACAGAGCACTATCCGTGTTGTCTGGATGGGGATTTAATTTCATTCAGACGTATCCCCCAGCTCTCGGTTTTCTCATTACCAATTTATGGTTCCTCTTTTTTCTCTGCACTCTTTTGGATTTTGCTGTACCTGAATGAAGGTACCTAGTTAAAAACCAGTATTTTGGAAGCACCTTCAAACGTAACAAAAAAAGCGTAAAACCAGAAAAGAAAATCAACAGCCAGCTAACAAAGCATGCATCAAACAGTCTCTGCCAAATCAGTGGCAGCATCCTACTGATATTATTCTCTGTGCCAGGATGGTTATTTCCCTCGACACCAAAGCTTTGCCCCCCTCCCCAGCATTTTAAAGATTAAGCCTATGATACCATCAAACTCCTTAGGTAAGCCATAGATTGGATTACTTATTTGAAACTAGAAAAAAAATATTGAGTTGAAAGACTATGGAGTCTTGTAGTAATTTAGAAATAAAAGATTCATTACTTTAACTCATGCTGGGAGAAGACAATTTATCAAACACCGAGTAAGACTTCTGCCAGGTGCGCACTGAACCACTGCTGATCCAGGCACACGCCTGGCAAGCACGCTCCGTATCACTTACCCCAGACGGGGCCTTCCTGTTCCCAAGATCTTTGTAGCAATTCAAGGTCAGATCACTTTCTTTACTTTTTAACCCCTTTCTCTTCCCAAGCCTCATTTTACTGTGTTAAAAGTGAACAGCCCCCAGAGCTACAGAAAAAGAAACTGGATTTTATTCAGTCTCAAACATCATCAATGAAATTCTTATGAAACACATGCTGGACTTCTATTACTGATTAATTGAGGTGGCTAGAAAATGATTCATTTATACCTTAACCTGATGAAAATGCAGACTTTTAAGCAAAACAAACTGCAAGACAAAAATTTTAATTTGAAATCTGGCATTGTTTTATTTGGAGACCCTAATGTGGCACCCCAGGGAATGTGCAGTTTAGGTGCTTGTGTTCCTATTCTCTTTCACGGGCTTAGTTATGGACCATCTCATCTGGGGACTGTCCTCCACAGAGAAGATCTGCGCATAACATACTTAAACTCCAACTGCCAGTGGGAAGGTGCTTCAAAATAAAATGTTTCAATTACCAGCTACAGCTTTTCTAATTCTGAGCCACAACTTTTCAACTAAAAAATCTGTAGAGGCATTTTTTAAAATGAACATGTTGTTTAGTGGAAAAGACACCCTCCTATTGAAAAATTGCCATAATTGAGACATTTCCCAGCCTTTCCGTAAGGCCAGAAGTACCCATTTTGATTTAAGCATCCCAGGTAAAGCTTGCATTTACTGTGGCCCAGGCAGAGGTAAAGAAATAACAGAGTCCTCTAACCCTTTTCAAATAAAGCTACTTTTCCTGTTCTAAAGCTCTCAGTGTCTGCTCCAATCGACCAGAGAAAGAAATTCAATATTACAATTACAAAAAAAACCCCACCCAAAATAAACTCTTGAAGCTTACTTGCTGATATTTTCTGGCCAAAAGGTCCAGCTTTTAGTGGACTTTCAGTGGTCAGATTATATTAACGAATCCTGGTCCCTAAGAAGCAGATTTTGGGAAGTTTCCCATTATTCTTCCTACTTTTGGTTAATCCGTAAGTGAGAAGAAAATCAGATTCAGAAAGCTCCTCTTAACTACACCTGAAAGGAGGGAGCATTAAGCATATTTCAGAAATAGAAGAAAAATTATCACTGCTGCTGTTTGCTAGCTGTAATATCACTCCTCATCAACAGTTAGGCGATTCTTAGAAATCTTCCTATGTTTCTATGATCATTTCCCTCTTTGCCAAATCTTCGTGCAGTGCAATTCTGGTCTAATGACCCCTCTTTTCTTCTCGTGACTCCCCCAATTCAAAGGGAAGGGGATCAACCAGGACTGACCTCTGACTCATATGCAAACCCCCGAAGCCCTGATGGGGAGCACGCTCTTCCCATTTTCTGTTCAAAATCTCTGCTCCACGCCCTGTCTTATTTCCCCTCAGCTCTTTCTTCCACACAACGGCATTGCAGTCAGACATCATCATCTTCAGCACGCCCAGGTGGTCCTTCTCACAAAATCTTCTAATCTAAAACAGGCTGCGAAGTGTCATTTAAGGGATCAGACTAAAGAAAAGCAGAGGCAGGCAATGGTTTTGGTGGAGGGCAGTGATAAGCACAGAGATGTTGCTCCAGCAACTTACACCTTCTTCTTGTTCCTTGCTTTAGCAGAGCCAACCCCTCAGCCGCCCCTGCGCCTGGGCACCACTGCAGCAACAGCCGGTGGACACCACCGAGCCACAGTGCTACCCCCTCCCCATCCACTTCATCCCCTGCTCCTCAGCCGAAGCCCCTTCTCAGCCACGCTCCCATCTCAGGGTCTTCTGCAATGCTATGTCCCAGGAGGGAAACTCCCTTTCCCAGCCTGGCCCCAGCAGCATCATGCTGCTCCTTTCCCCACGGCGCCCGGATCCACAACGGCCACCCCTCTATCCGGGGACCGACATGGGAGCAGCCTAGCTCTCCTGCAAGGAGCTCAGCGGAGACCACCACCCCACTACCTCCGAGTCAGCTCTTGACCTGCGCTCCTGCTCTGAGGGACGCCTGCCATCACCCCCCTCCCCAGCTGCTATGAAGTCTGGTCGGGCATAATGCAGGTGTCTGCAAAATTAAATGGCCTCCGCATCTGAGTGTATCAAGAAATCGATTTGCCGTGTTGATTTATTGTTAGCTTAACTGGAATTCGGCTATGATGTGTGTTAAATTTCAAAACTCTGTGTGGGTGTGTATAGAAATAAAGAATGTAAGAAAGAAAGGAAGGAAGGAAAGAAGGAAGGAAGGAAGGGATGAAGTCACAATCAATGGCAACGGCCAGCTTCTTTTTCCTGCCAGTAAATGCGTGTTGGCACGATGCTGAATACTGCCAAAGGTTTCTTTTCTATTTCAGCAACCAATACTGACGTAAAAGCCTGAAGTGTTAATATGCTGAAACCCCCCCTTGCAGAAGACTTAATGATATGTTGGCAACTCAATCATTCTGCATTTGTGTTTCAGCAATGTCAAATGGCAGCAGTTAAGCAGAAACCTGCTGGCAAATTGACAAACAACAGCCATGAAGCAATTAAGTGGCAACGCTGGAGAATTTTTCATTATGTATGCTGAAGAACAAAAGGAGGGGAAAAAAACCCAAACATGCTTGTTTCCCATGAATTCTCCCAGTAGAAAGCTTTGTAGACCGTGAGTTGCACAGGTAGAGTAGGTCTTAAGTTTTCAAAAGTTACGGAAAAGAGACATTTTCCCAATACGCTCGAAAGCAACGCAAGCTCCAACATGGGTCAAAGCCTGCCAGCTTCTGCATGCGATACTTGATGAAGGAGTTCACTACTTAGGAGTTCACTACTTAAAAAAAGGTCTGATGCTTGCCCAAAGTACAGTGCGGGTGCCTACAAAACATGCTTTTCCTACGTCACACTATTCGGAAAATGAAAATAAAAGCTTCCCCATGCAACCAGTTTTTCTTGAGAAAGCAAACAGAGCCTGGATGTCTAAGATGAGTGTGCCTTCAGTTTCTGTGTCTGTGCACAAGTAGGGAGGGTGTACACCCAAGACAGCATCAAAGCCCCACGTGCAAAATCATCAGAGAGGCTGGCCAGATTTGCTGGCTCAGAAACACACAGCAGCAAAGTCCAAGGCCATTCCTTGACATCAGTACATTGCATTATATAAGAACTCAAAAATAAAACGCACAGGAGCAAGGCCTCCGGCTACTAAACCCAGACAGAAATGCTATGACCCAACCCTTCGCTCAAACCAAGTTTGTGTTCAGGTTCCTGAAACCCAAGAAACCTCTTGAGGCTCCAGCTACAACTCCTCTCTGCAACAGCAGAGCAGAGGAAAGCAGGTTGTTTTTCTGCCATGTGAAAGCCACGTTAATGCTGAAGGGTAACTTCCCTTGCCCACGCTCTTGCCTTGTGCGGCTCAAGCCATGCAAAGAAGGGAAACCTCAGCCTCTTTGCTGCAAGGGCTTCCCCTGCACGCGGGGATCCCCCGCGAGAGGCAGGTGTGACGCTGCACGCCCTGTTGGGCAGCACCCTCATGTGACCCCTGTTTCAGGGGGATGAAGGGGAAATGCAAAAGGTTTCCCAACAGTGTTTTAACTCCTCCTTCCCTCCACTTCGTGGGTCTTGTTCATAATCAGAGCTAGAGGTGAAGCAGGAATGGATGAAGCCAAACAGCCTCAGAACACGCTGCTGGAACAGCCTGATAAGAGCATTACTAGGGACAGTACTTTAATTTTAGACTTTTACTTAAGTCATTTTAGCAAAACACTTTGGCATGTTGCTTGTTGCAGTTCTTCAAATTGCTCTAACATCTCCATATCCCCCACCCTCCAAATATATATCTGAAGAGTCTGTTCCTCTGAATGAGTGAATACAAGTTTATCATCTCCTTCATGAAGTACCACCAAGTGTAAACATCCAAAGCAAATCAAAAGTCAATAAAGAAGAAAAGACACAGAAAGGCAAAAGAAATGAAAAGCATGCACATCTCAGTGGTAAACTATAATTAAACACGAACCATTACTATAGCGCATAAATAATAATTAAAACACATATTGTTAATTTTTTGCCTCATTACTCTGAAGCATCACACAAATCTCCCAGTCTACGCAAGCAAAGATTCAGTGGCGACGCATGGGACTGCATTTACGCCTTCCGACTAGTAGGAAGCTCCCCACGAGCAGGCTGGGCGGCACTTCAGCATATGTTTTCCTGCCATCCGTAACAGCTTTGCAGAAATCGCAGCAGCTGTGTTGGAGAGGACAGGGGTTCTGTGGCGGAGCATCCATCAGCAGGACTGCTGAGGAGGAGATGGGATGCTGCCTGTTACTAGCACCTTGGATCTTGGCATCGAAAGCACCCATTCAAATCAGCTGAGAGCAACTTAAATCATGAGCGTGAAACGCCTGCTTGGATCCCTTTGGGAAGGAAAAGTGGAAGGCAGTCTGGCATTCAGAATAGTCAATGGTAAGCCCAACAAGCAAGTCAGTCGCAGTGGCAACTGTCTACCAGGCTCGGTAGGGGCCACGGCATGAAGGGCAGCAGGGGCTGTGCACTGCCCCCTTGCTCCTCGACATCCAACCCGCTACAGTCGCTCTCGGTTTAACATCTTTCAAGAGCAACACATTTCACTTAAATCAATAGTGGTGCTTAAAACACGTCTCTTCTTAGTCAGCCCTAGGAAGCAAGAGAGAGCACTTGTACATGCAATGAGCTGAAGAAACAAGGGGCTGGGGCAGACTTTAGCCAGTGCAGGTATAACAAACATATACCGCCATAAGATCTGTGACCTGCAGAGTTTTTAGCAGCTTCTGTCCTCAAGAGGAACTTTCAGGATGTCAGATCATAAATCATCATTATATCTCACAGCAAAACTCTTAAAAAGTGGTTTGTCTTCCATGTAAGATGGTTTGTCTTACGTACAGCCATTCAGAAGAACTGTTGCCCCCCGGTTACCTGGCTTGACAGATCACAACAGTGACACTGCAGCATTTGCTTTCACGGAAAGCTAATAATAGGAAAATTAATCAAAGAGAATCTAATTTTGCACAAAGTAGCAAAGACAAAACCCAACAATGCGCTATTAGTCAGCTCTGTGTGAACCATCAGTAAGAGCCTGAAAAATCACAGTTTGCA